CATTAAAGTCCGACTGCTTAGGAAGAACTAAAACAAACTAATATAACTTTTTCATGGTTTACCATTTGCTTATTAAGTTGCTTAGGCTAACATTGTGCTTTAGTTGCTTTTATACTTGTTTAAAGTAACTCATCTTAAGCTATAGGTCATGCTTGCCTTGTTTAAGTGCTACAACATTCGTTTACTGTCAGATATGTACACACTCTGCTTTATCATTTTACTAATCAGCCCTTATATCATACACTATGATATTGCTTAGTGTTTGACTGGCTTTCAATACATTCTGTAGAAGAAAGTATGCAGTTGTTTGAAAAAAAACAAGAGAGAATTGATCAGAAAAATGTAGACGAGCCAGTCAGATTTTGTTGGCATACGTTTTGCCCGTTGTGCTTCCATGGGTCATTTATCATTTAGCGAAGTGTAACTTGAACCATAGCATTTTTGACCTTGCAGAAGTTGTAAGTTACATTTAAATTGTAGGATTTATATAATATTGTTGGAACAAGTCACCATAATGACATACACATATTGCTGTTAACCTTTTTTTCATTTGAGGCTAACAAAACATTATTTACCTGTATGCATTGTCACATGTGCAGACCCGCCAAATACACAACCAGACGACTACCTTTCTTTCTTTCCCCCCCCCCCCCCTCAAACACATCAACATACAGACACACCACATTCATACTCATTGCCCCCTAACCCTGCAGCCCGTACACAAGAGGACCATTAATTCTGAGTGTGTGTGTGTGTGTGTGTGTGTGTGTGTGTGTGTGTGTGTGTGTGTGTGTGTGTGTGTGTGTGTGTGTGTGTCTGCGCGTGTACACATGTTCCTTGTGCCTAGGTGTGTATGTCCATGTGTCTGGTGGGCAGTTAGAGGAAGGGGGGCCTTGTGTTTTCTTAGGGGCTGTGCAGAGCGGGGCCCCCCCCAAACACCACCTTCCCCAGTCCATTCATCCAGCGACCACCCCCCCCCCCCCCCCTCAACCACCCTCCCCTCGGTAAAAGAAGATCTTTGTGTGTTTGCGCTAGTGAAGCAGCCCCAGTCCGTCCCAGTGTTCCCAAAGGAATACAATGAATGGGAGCATTTTGTCCCACTCTATAACCCCCCCCCCCCCTCAGTCCTCTCTTCTTGTTCTTTTTTTTTGCCCATTCGGACAGACAGACTAGTTTTTATTCTCTCTTCATTCCCCTTTTCTCCGTGTCACAAGACGTCAGACAGCTTGTGTGTGTGTGTTGTGGTGTGTGTGTGTGTGTGTGTGCTGTGTGTGTGTGTGTGTGGGTGTGTGTGTGTGTGTGTGTGTGTGTGTGTGCCTGTGTGTGTGTGTGTGTGTGTGGTGTGTGTGTGTGTGTGTGTGTGTGTGTGTGTGTGGTGTGTGTGTGTGTGTGTGTGTGGGAAAAGTACCCTGAACTTCCAATGTTTGTGCGTGTGTGTGTGTGTGTGTGTGTGTGTGTGTGTGTGTGTGTGAGTGTGTGTGTGTTGTGTGTTGTGTGTGTGTGTGTGTGTGTGTGTGTGTGTGTGTGTGTGTGTGTGTGTGTGTGTGTGTGTGTGTGTGTGTGTGTGTGTGTGTGTGTGTGTGATGGGGGCCTCCCAAGTTATCAGGCCTTTTTGGAGTGTGACCTAAACAAGTCTGTCTGAAGAACCGGTCAGGTGATGAACACATGTAACTGCACGCTTGTCGAACAATGCTCACTGTGGGAAATACAGATGTCAGATGCTCTGTTTGTGATCACACACACACACACATTCACACACAGCCCTGATTCTAACCTTGACACTGGAAGTCTTGAGCCTCAAACAGCACTTTTAATAAGTGGAGATCAAACAATATATCCCAAAATGTCCTGTCCCCATGAGGTCGAAAAAAAATATCGGTCCTCATTAAGTTGCAAGATAAGAACTTTCGGATACACACACATACGCAATTACCAATTATTTAAAACACAAAAAAAGCTGTTAATTGTCACATTTTCCAAGCTCGAACCAGCAAATGCTCCCAACTCGATAAATGCATTAATTGATTTCTTCATGTTTCTTTAGATTTTCTCATTGATTGACTAAACTTTTCATCGCTTTAACAAACACATGCAAGTCAAAGATGTTACTATTCATCTCTCTCTATTTAGTCATGCTCTTTGAACCTCCCTACCACAAACCCTCACTCCCTCACACACTCACTCACTCACTCCATACACATCCCACAGGACGGTCGTCTAATTCAAGCCGGCATGTTACCCAGGCTGCAGCACAAATGCCGTAGAAGAAGTATACCGTAACCACACAACATGCTGATTATGTATATTTAGGCTCCACTGATGAACTGTCCCACGACGGCAGCGGGAGGGGGTCAGCATGGTTAATGAATTGGTTGTAAAGAAGATGAATGGAGGTGGATGGCATTGAGGGAAGCTGAGAGTAAAAGAAAGGTGTTAACAAGCGTGGTCTTTGAAAGAGTAAAATAGCAATTGAGAAGAAGAAATATGAATAATGGAGGAAGATTGTGATGTAAAAAGGGAAGAAAGGATTAAGACAGAATAAGAAAAAGGAAATGGATGATAAAAAAAAGTATATGAGAGAAGCCAAGATAATGTCATCAGCGGAAAATTGATAGAAGACAGAAGAATAAAAGAGAGGATGAATCTGAACAGGTCTAAAAAATAAATGGAATAGGAAACAAAATGGAGGAAAAGTTTAAGCTACAGTAAATCGCAAAAATAGCATAGAGGAAAAAGGAGAGACAAAAAGCAAATATTAAGAAAGGATGAGAGACTTAAAGGTGGGGTAGGTAAGTTTGAGAAACCGGCTCGAGATACACTTTTTGTTATATTCCATGGAATGCTCTTAACATCCTGATAGCAATGAATATCTTAAGTGCTTTGACAAAAAATCCATACAAAAATGTCATCTGTGGAAGCCGTAGTACTGTAAAAAGCACGACCAATCATCTGAGCCGGCCCGGCTAAAATAACTGGATGGCCTACCTGCCTGTCAGCCTTCCATCTGTGCACAAACTTATCTCGTGCCCTCATTGGTCATGTGCGCATTCGTGTGTGTTGGAGGAGGGGCTCTGTGAGGAAGTGGCAGATTTTTTCCAGCTGTGTATTTTCAAATTCTAGCGCACTCGAGCCGGTTTCTCCAAAATTACCTACCCCACCTTTAAGGAACATACATTTGTCTGAATTATTCTCAAAATAAGAAACAGAGAAGTATCTGAAAGAGAGAATAAAAACACGAATACAAGTTAGACATTTGGAATCATAATAATTGGCACATTTTTTATTTCTCTGTAACTATTCCACAAATGAATTAGATACAGCAAATTGCAGCATGAATGCATTTCTTAATTTTCTTTTAATAATGACCTCCCTGAGAATTTTAATTTCTTGCGAGAATGTAAAATATGAAAGCTAAGGTTTCAAATGATTTCTAAAAACTAATTTGCATTTCAGTTTGAATGCCTTTAACATGTGTGTGTGTGAAAATGTGGAAAAAAAAGATGCCAGTCGTTCAGGAAAAGGAATCTAACGAGCTAGAAAAAGGAAGCAGAGAAGGACAGACACACAAAGAGAAAGACGAGAGACGTGAGGGAGAAAGAGACAAACTATTTTACAAGACAGGAAAAATAAAACAAGTTTGAGATAAAGGCAGAGATGAGAGAGTCCAGTAGTCGAGCAAAGCGAGCTCTAATAGATTCCCGCAGGCTCATCTTTGATATGCTCTCCTCACTTCAAGCCCTCAGCGCCTTAATTCAGTCGAACCCACAGATTTTGTAAGTCTTTCAAGCTGACATGAAAGGCAGCTCTTAGCCTCTCTGTTGTTTTAAAGGCATTTTGTTTCTCAGTTTTACACTTGTCTCTCAATAGTGTGAGTCTTTATTTGTTGTTTGGTGTCTGCTCTTTAACCCTGCTTAAGAGTTTGGTTTTTTGTCAGCAGTTTTCACGAATCTTGGCAATACTGTACATTTTTCCTTATCAGTCAGTTTTTACGTCTATTCAATGTTTTCCCTTTTGTATTATTTAAATAGTCTTTCTTTCTTCCGTGCTTTTCCTTTAATTCTTTTCTTTTCTCTTTTTTACCTTCAAGTCTTTTGCATTCTTTCATCCTCCATCTTTTATTTCAGAAATATTTTGGGACTGGTTATTTCTTGTTATAGTCTAGCATCGAGTCCAGCCATCCAGCCAGCGATTCCAGTCGAGGAGCGAGCTAGCGAGAGCGAGCTAGCGAGCGAGAGCAGAGCGAGCGAGCGAGCGAGCGAGCGAGCGAGCGAGCGAGCGAGCGCGAGCGAGCGAGCGACGAGTAGCGATCTATCTATCGATCTATCTGATCTATCTATCTATCTATCTATCTATCTATCTATATCTATCGATCCATCCATCCATCCATCCATCCATCCATCCATCCATCCATCCATCATCCATCCATCCATCTATCCATCTATCTATATCTATCCATCTATCTATATATCTATCTATCCTTTCCATCTTGCCATTTTCCTCACATTTTTTTCCGGTATGTATTTTAGTGTATTCGACCTGTTTTCAGCATTTGTGTAGGAGCTGTTGTGTGTGTGTAACGGCCCGTCCACACAGCGGCTTTGGAAAAAGCTTGCCGGCGGGCGTGTCTGAAGCTCGACCAACAACCAATCACATGAATCTCCCGCCCCTGAGACACAAGCAGCGGTTTGATTGGCTAGAGCTTGTACTGGCATATGATTTGATTGCTTCCACTGAAAGCTTCAGAAGCTTCAAAAGTTGAACATTGCTCAACTTTTGAAGCCTGAGATGCCTGGAAAGCTCCGCTCTGCTTCCCACAATGCAGTTCGGCGAAAAGTGAGACAAAGTGACGTCACCCTATTCAAAGTGAATGGGCAGAAGCGTTGGAAGATTTTTTTAACGTTGCTGTGTGGACGTAATGTTAAGGTGGTTTTATTTACCTTGTCCTATTTTTACATGTTTCGTGTAAATACTTCAAACATCTCTCTCTCTCTCTCTCTCAGGTCCAGGGTCACATGCCTCCTCTGATGATCCCAGTGTTTCCTCACGACCAGCGCTCTCTGGCTGCTGCCGCTGCCGCACAGCAGGGCTTCCTCTTCCCCCCGAGCATGTCCTACAAGCCAGGTATAAACACACACACACACACACACACACACACACACACACACACACACACACACACACACACACACACACACACACACACACACACACACTGAACAATTGCCTAAGATGGATTACGCGCTGTCGAGTGTTAAGGAAATATATGTTTTCTTGATAAACAGTCACCCCCCTCAGACAAAAGCCCTACGTCTCTGACAGGTCTCGTAAACTACAAAAGACACAGCAAGTCTCTCTTTCACACATACACACACACACACACACACACACACACACACACACACACACACACACACACACACACACACACACACACACACACACACACTGGGATCCCCAGTCTATGTTAATGAGGTGTGTCAGGTGAGGAATGTTCTGGAAATGAGCGGAGAGATTTACAAGCTCTGCTCGTTCACGTCAGGAACAATACATTGGACACAGCGAGGACTGGAATGTCTCTTTTATGGCGTGCTGAAAGCATGTCAGTTGCTCAACACATCTGCAACATGGAATTTCACACTTTCTCACACACACCACATCAACACACACACACACACACACACACACACACACACACACACGCACACACACACACCACACACACACACAACACACACACACACACACACACACACACACAACACACACACACACACACACACACACACACACACACACACTCTTCAACATGTTCTCCTGGTACACACCGACCCAACAATGTACACTTATGGATGATGCAGACAGACAAAACACATGCAGTCCTCGACACAAGAACACACTTAAAGGACTGAATGCATGCTGCGTATGTTCAGAAGTCCACAAGGATTTTGTATAAACAGGCGCAACAAAACACAGCTCACAGTCTCACAGAAACACACTTCAGGTAAAAAAGTCTTATATTGTAGGATTCGCAGCACCACCTGCTTTCTTTCCTTCGCCTCGTCCTTCACACATTCCTTTCTTCCATGCATTCTTCCAGGTGCTCGTCTGACACCGCCATGCCTCCATACAATAATCCATGTTTATGCTTATACTGCGTGAGCATTTTCTCTCCCACGAGGCCGTAAACAGAAATGAAGAAATTGATTAAAAAGCCATTATTCTTCGCTCTCCTTTGACTTTGGTCTGTTTGCAACAAAGGCTCGGACATGGAAAGCCTTTTAGGGGCGAACAGTAGGGGTTACACGCGGTGCTCGTATATGCATTCATGAGTGCATCCCGATGAGGGAGCACTGGACTTGAACTCTGAGTCTCGAGCACCCGTGTGTACCGACAATGAGCGTCATTAACCTCTGAATAAAACACTTGCGACCCTTCATGACTCATTTGGCATGAATAAAAACATGAGCACAAGAAAAAGAGAGAGGACGAGACAAAAGACCGGAAAGACAGAAAGAGACAGACAGAGTTTTGTCGAAGGTAAAGATCAGGTTAGCTCTTGTGAGGTACACTGTATCTGCCTCCCCCCCTCCTCCCTTCTCGCTCTACAAAATGTTTTGTTTTGGTTGTTCAACAGGTGAGAATTACCCCATGCAGTTCATTCCATCTACTATGGCAGCTGCAGCGGCATCTGGACTCAGCCCATTACAACTACAGGTAAGAGGAACACACCTGGTCTCTGAGAATCAGCTACAATATACTAACAAACCCTACATCTGGAAATGGCCACTGCTAAGGGAGTGAGAACATGTTTTATTTTAATTGGGCTGCACCAAATTTGAAATGATAGTGTATTTAAAAAAGGGTGAGTAATGTCTTCCCTCAACAAAAGGAGCAGAGAGTGGAGATAAGAGCAGAAACTTGTTGACATCTAATCGGGGTAAAAGGGTGTGAAGGGTTTATGGGAGGGACTTTTCTTCATGTGATATATGGTTTGTTTGTATCTGCATCCTAGATAGGTAGGTACGTTTGAGAAACCGGCTCGAGATACACTTTTTGTTATATTCCATGGAATGCTCTTAACATCCCGATAGCAATGAATATTTTAAGTGCTTTGACAAAAAATCCATAAAAAAATGTCATCTGTGGAAGCCGTGGTACTGTAAAAAGTACGACCAATCATTTTAGCCGGCCCGGCTAAAATAACTGGATGGCCTACCTGCCTGTCAGCCTTCCATCTGTGCACAAACTTATCTCGTGCCCTCATTGGTCATGTTCGTGTGTGTTGGAGGAGGGGCTCTGTAAGGAAGTGGCAGATTTTTTCCGGTTGTGTATTTTCAAATTCTAGCGCACTCGAGCTGGTTTCTCCAAAATTACCTACCCCACCTTTAACTCAACAACTTTCAAAACGAAATAAAGAATGCCTTTTTTATTGATTTTCACGGCCATTTTAAAATGAGTGATTTTGTAAGCAATATTTCTGAATTTGGCCCTAACTTTTTTCACTTTTGTCATTTTAAAAAAATCGTTCTTCTTTCTGTGCATAGTCTTAGTCTGTACAGTACAAGTGGAGAAAAAGGGTGTGAAGGGTTTGTGGGCGTGACGCTATTTGTGTGTCATATGCATTATTTCCACCTGCGTTAACACACTGGAAAATCTTAGAAAAGAAAGGAAATAATGCCTTTTTTCGTTCTCTTGGCGTAACTTAATGTTATCTTTTCATAAAGTGGTTGCATCATTTTGGAGTTGGAGTAAAGGCCAACAAAGCAAACTGAAGAAGTGCCTCTTCAATAGCTGATAACTTGAGTGTTTCACAACCAAATAAACAACTTCAGCAGAAACTGAGTTTCAGAGCAGCAGCAGGATCAAAGACACTGAGGGTTTGAACACTGAGAAAGTACACATGTCTAAACCTGAGGGTGTAACCAGCAGACCATAACCCAAGACTATTGTACAAAAGTGAGTAGATAAATAGAAAAAACATTACAGATAAGAAACATTGGCAAACTAAATGAAACTCCTACTTGTTCTAACCTCGCCCCAAGTTCAAGTATGTAAAAAAAGAATGCTCCACAGCCACCGCCAACTCAACTATACAATTGTGGTTTAATCCATACCTGCTGCATGAAACCTTTTTATCATTTGTGTATGTGTTAGAGATGCCAAGGCTGTTACGCAACCTGCAGACTGTCTGGTGGATTTATTGTAGCACAAAAGAGAAGAAGTAGCTGTTTTGAATGAGAAATGACAGCTGCCACGACGGCAACAACAGGAAATCAAAGAGAGGAATAACACTGTGTGATCTCTCGAAAGTGCAAATACTAACAATATAAGACATGGAGTTGCCACTGAAATCATATTTTGACTCATACCATTCCTGACATTGGTTATTTTACAACAAACCAATAGTCTCAGCTGCCCTTTGTTGCAGTAAAAGCTTTAAGAGACACTATTGTGCTTTTTGGGGGTTTCTCCTTCCCTGTAGTGAGTTATATAGGTTTGTGTGCATGTCAATGGTCTGCAAAGGCTACAATCCCATAGTTCCCAAAGAAGATCCATTGAACTCCATTGGATAGCGCTCCAACACATTGTAGGTGATAGGCTAAGGGGTGGGACATTTCTAAGTGGTTGCCCACTCACAACAGAGCCGTGAGCTAACCAATCAGAGCAGTAAAATACAAATATGAATCTGAAAATGAACATAAAATAGAAAATATTCCCCAAAAGACCCATAAAATCTGAATTATGACAGATGTAAGTCGGAGGAATTCCAACATGCATTCATAGGCTCACATCACAGGTTTATTTCAACATTTATTTTAATGAGTTTTGCAATCAAATAGCACGATGCATTGATTAAAGTTGAAGCTCAAGTCCTCCTATATGCTGCCTGTCAGTGTCAGATAAAAGCTGCGATGATAAATCACGGAGGAATTCCGCCCCACCAGCACAACACCTGGCTCGGGCAATTCATCAAATATTTTATTGCCGCTTGACACCTGTGGTTTGAGAATAGCACTTACCCATAATGGTTATCATAGAACATATTTGCAAAAGAAGGAAAAAAGAAACAAAAAGAAAAATGGAATCGCTTCTCCCTAAAGGAGGTCTGGGATTTCACAACACGACCCCGTCACCTTTCTATCAGCGACACGAACAAAAGCTTTTTCACTGGCAAACAATATCGCTTCATGATGTCAGTCATTACCATGGCATGGCTTTTGGATGTTACAAGAATCCTTATCTCAGTTTATTCAATTTGCATTGTGGTTTCTGCTTGTCGAGGCCCTCATTAGCCGCTATTGACTTAGCAAAGCGCCGTGCTGTGCTGAGAGGAATCAGAGCCTGAATCTCCACTCCTGGCTTTGAAAAGATCAAAAGAGTCTCTTACCTCTCGCACGAGTGAGAGGTAAGAGGATGAATGATGTCGGAGATGCAAACTCATTCACATTTAAACACTGCTTCAGACATGGAGAATGAGAGGCGGAGAGGAACCTGAATGAAAGGGGAAGCTTCTCATCACAGCGCTGGCTGAAATCGAGTGTAGGAGACAGGGGAAGAGGAGGAAGACACAGAGCGCGGGGAAGTGTTCGTGAGAGAAAAAAAGGGATGATTATCTGAGGAATTTTGTGAGACGGAGGCGCTGGCTTCCAGCACATGTTTGGACATTGTTTTGACAACAATGCCTCCGCCAAAAGCAATCATGATGAGATTTATGGGTTGTACTCGTTTGTGTCTTAATCTCCAAAATGTGCCAGTAGCTTTCTTTGTACTAAAGTAGTGCTTACAGCGTACAGAATCAAGAGAGAATGGATACAATAAAAACACCTGCATGGTGTAGGCCTACTGCTACTCAGTCTAAACGCCTCGCAATTAATGCATACTTTGTGAAAATGATACAGTTCTGCTGCTTGAATTGAATCAACACCTCCCCTTAACCCCTCTATACCTGTATAGACAAGTCTCATGTAGTGTATAGTTTGCATCATTTTGGAGTGTCTTTGCGGTGTGTGAGCTGCATGTTGGTGTGTCGGAAAGGTCCACAACCACAGGGTTCCCCTCAGGAAATGTGTTAGTAATTGAGCAATTTGTTAATCTGTAAAAGGTTTCTGTTATTTCCCAACAATGCAGAACATCGTAAAAATCACAAAATACTTCCAAGAAGAAGAATTCAGTTTCCACTCTGTCGTACACACACACATGCGTTTTTTATACAGGTACAGGTTTATACACACAGTACACACTTTTTACATCATGCACATATACAAATACACACAGTTATATGCACACATGCACATGCAGTTGAGACGTCAGAGCGGAGGCAGCCAGTCTAGCCGGCGCCAGTAAGCAGTTGGGGGTTAGGTGCCTTGCTCAAGGGCACTTCGGCAGTGGCCCAGGAGGTGAACTGGCTCCTCTCCAGTACCAGTCCATACTCCGTATTTGTTGGTCCGATCGGGACGTGAACCAGGGACCCTTCGGTCCAAAGTCCAATCCCCTACAGACTGAACCACTGCCGCCGTTAAACACTCAAACTGAGGAATAAGTCCAACGTGACGATGTCATTGAAATAACGTCACTTTATTTAACAAAGAGTACCTTTTAAGTTTTTGGGGACTTTTGCATGTTACCTTTTAGTCCAGGAAGTGATCCTACCCAAGCACTTTTAGATAGCTGAGTCGTGGTTTGATTTCTCACCATACAGCGAACTCATGACAATCCATCACATACTGATGCATCTTGTCTTGTAACTAATTGAGACATAGCCTTTGGTGTGGTGCTTGTTTTCTCTTGATTGCCACTATCTTAAAGCCCTTTGGCCTTCATGAAGCCATCGTGGTTACGCAGTAGTGCCACAGTGTCTCTCTCTTTCCCAACAACGGCTCTGCTCTCTTCATTGGCTCTGCCTATCCGGAGGTGAGGGACAACGACAGCATGGAGAATGTCACAATTACTGAAAGTGGATGTTTTTCTTAACCCAGAGCCTTGCTATCTCACTTCTTGTGTCTTTACTCATGACTTATTAATCACGCATGAGAGCTGTCTCTTGCCTTTGCCTCGAGCCTTGACCCTTTGACTCTGTGCTGTTTGCAGCTTGTCATGTTAGTGATATGTGAACTGAGACCAAATGTGCTGCTGCACTCTTTGAAAGACATGTACTTTCAGTATATAATATAGAATCTATTGGGGGAACGTATGGTTTAATTGATGTAGTTGCATGCATTAAAGAGTCATTAATCATCAATTAATACTAGGAGTTTTCCCTTTGCTGCTTGTAAAATAACACCTTTTGCAGAGTCACTAAGTTGTTATTTAACTGTACTGTACTCTACTGTAAAGGCAATGGTAATGTATTGACATGGCAGTTGAGTGTACACTGAGATCTTGTCTGTTTTGAAGTGTTTTTTTACTTATTAGTCTCAGTTACGCTTCCCTTCAGAACGGCCTCTTCTCCAGTGTGTGAAACTGTGCATTAGCCTATAAAAAAAGCGTTATAAATACATAATTACACCATGTTAGTTCTACGCTAGCAATCTCCTCTGCTACGTACTGAGGTCAAGTACACACCGGCTGGCATCAAACCTAGATATTTGTTGAGCAAAGGATGGACAGATGTTGTAGCGAGACTCTTCCAGATGTTTTGTTGTTCTGCCCCGTAGACACCCTTCAGGCAGAGAGCAGGCACTGATGGTCAGGTGGGCAAAGACTGAAATACAGAA